TTGCCAAATATACATCATAGATATCTGCCCAGTCAGTTTGTAATTTTTACCCATATTGGTCTTTTGGTTCAATTCAATCAGTTACTGCTCTGTTCCAGAACAGGAGAGGAGAGCCAAACTACAGACCTTGAATGCACCTAACTTTTAATTGAGTCAATATTTCACTGAAGTAACAGTATTTTCGCTTGAGTTTGGGTTCAGGCTACTGTACTCACCTCTGCCGAGTGGCTGCAGCACTGCAGACTTTAGTATTTCCCTTTTCTAACGCATCCAATCAGCTAATTATGAAGCTGAATGAAGTATGAAGTACGCCGGCTCGGGAAGCGCTGGTGTAAATTTAAAGTGCTGATTTGATTTAGAAGTGAGGGATGTTCTGTAAGCTTTGCGTTGCTGTGGGAGTCCTGACTGATGGGCCTGGCTGTGTTCAAGGCTCCTGAACAGGGCCCAGCCATTAGAAAGTGTGTTTAAGACGTTGTGCTCTATTACCCATAGCGCACCTGGGGCCGTGTTGCTCAGCACTTTCACTGTATTAGCAGCATTCAATCTTGCTGCATGTGATGTGTGTGTTAAAGGGCCCATATTCTACATTTCCTTGCATTTTTTCCTCTTTACATCCTCTTATATTGACCACCAAAAACAGTCATTCATTTTTACGAGACATATTTCCAGCCTCTCCTTAGCCTTTCGAATTAGTCCCGCTGTTTTTATTACTGTGCCTTTAAGATTGATATATGTAAATGACCTCTGTACTGATAGGCTGGCCTGTATTGTGCCTCGTTCATGAATAAACTATCAAGTTTGGACTGAGATCTTCAGTAATATCAGAAAAAGTAAAGTTCAGTCACTCATCTGGGATGTGGGGATCCTTTAAAAGGCTACAGTGAAACATTTTCTTTCCAGCAGTCAGGAACAGCACGCTACTTCAGCGACTTCTTTTTCTTTCTTAAAATAAAAAGAGAATAATGTAGTATGTGAACATTGTTCAAGTTTCAAAACATAGCGTTCACTTCCCAGTCCATACATGAAAACTAAGCCACAAAAACAGAATTGTTTTGTCATGAAAATCAACACATTTACATATATCTGCTTTTTGAATGAGGCACAATGCAGGGCAGCCAATCAGAAGAGAGCTCATTTACATATATATCAGTCTTAAAGGCACAGTAACAGAAACAGCCTGTTTGATTCTAATGCTGTGTTTTGCTTTGCACTCATTCTGCACTTCTTAGATGTACGCGGCTAATGGCGATAGCCACGCAAACGTTGACATGGTGACCACAGTGTCGTCAAAAATGGATGATATTAGAGGAGAGCATCATAAGTGTAGATTGTTTATTTAAAGTGGAAAAAGTCAAGAGGACACTGTGCTCTTTTATTTTTGGTATATAATAATATTTTTGGTAAATAAATCTGTGTTTATCTGAAATTCAGCTAAACGTTTGGCGTCCATGGCTCCCAGAAAGTCAGCATCCGGTTTATTTCACTGCTGTGGTCGATGGCAAAATCCAAAAATTGAACTCTTGATCATTCCGCTTACCGCTGCCGCTTGCAAAAATGAATTATGACTGTTTTAGGTTCATACAACTCTACTGCTACAGACTGTCTATGGGAACAACACTCTATACCACGGTGAGAATGGGTGGGACTAAACTGCTGCAGGCTGGATGGGAAGTCCTATGTAAACGTGTTCATGGTTGTGACATCACAACCATGATGAATTCAAAATTAGATGTTTTTGCAGGTTAGTTTGCTTATATCAGGGATCGGCAACATGTGGCTCCTGAACCACATGCAGCTCTTTTACTGCCCCCTTGCGGCTCCATAGCAGAATTAGACTTTAAGGTAAAAATAATAAAGATCCTCTGTTGGAGTTAAACAATGTTTTGCAGTAAAATACTCTAACACACAGTTCTAACAGAGTTTTAACAGTAAATGGTCTTAAACATTGGAATTAATGTATAACTGATAATTCATGAACCTTTAACAGACTGCTGGCAGCAATGCAGACAACAATCTTGCCAAGCTAGTAGCTAACAAAATAGCAAAGAGAAAGATTTAAGACGAACATCGATAATTTACAGACGAATGGACAGACTCATATGCATTTATATGACTTCCTGCTAGCTTCCTGATAAGTTTAATCTGCAGTGAGAAACTGTCAAGCATCAAAATGTTAAACGTTGAGGGACATTTTACAAAAAACTGTTCTACTTTTGCGGAAAAGTTTCCTGCCGGAGATGCGAGAAAAGCTGCTATAGCTGCACTAAAGCTTAAAGTAGAGCAAAGTAAGTCTGTGTTTTTGTTTACATTGTATTTTTTAGCCTGTACTAGTACATTGGCATATACTGAGACATATTTACAGGGTGTAGTATCAGCGAATAATTGTCCAAAAAACATTTTATTTTTAAGCGGCCCTAATCAGTTAGGTGACAGTGACAGTATACCAAAATGCCTGTTATTTATTCATTTTACTGCCTTCGTAACCTTACAGAAATAAGTTATGTTTATTTATAGTGCTAATCCAGGTGGATTTAGTCCCAATTTCTGTTTTATAAATGCATACATGTCAGCATCAGCATCGCTAGATAGCTACATGAAAGATATCAGATATCGGCATCAACCCAGAATTCCCAAATTGGTGCATCCCTACTTCAGATGCTTTTGTTCCAATAAAAACAGCAAAATGTAGTTTTTCCCTGATAGAGGTCCTTAAATACAAGATGAAAAAGGATGAAAAAATGGTGTGGAAAGAATCATCTGAGTTGTCGGTCTTGACTGTCTGTACATTACTGCGATTTCAAAATGGCTCCATTGTGGGGCTTTAAAAAATGACGCTGAATTATTTTATTTAAAATTTCTAATTTATTTTATTTGCAGTTGTTTGCCGAAGTGTTTTTGCACACCTTTTTTCTGTTGTCAATCCAGATAACGCAGCGTTGATCTCTCTCCTGCTGCAGAAAGGTCGCAGAGGTAGAAATTTCCAGAGAGAGAGAGAGAGAGAGAGAGGCAGGGGGTTTAAGACAGAGATCATGTGAGAGAAATGGAGTTTATATAATGATAGAGGAGAAAGAGAGATGGAGAGAAAAGAAGAGGGATCAGAGGACCTGAGCAGGAGCGATGATAAGGAGAGAGAGTGAGAGAGAGAGAGAGAGAGAGAAATGATCAAGTGAATGAAAAGGAAGAAAAAGAGCATTGTTGTATTGAATCACACACAGAGCGACTGGAGAGATGGAGTGAGTGAGTGTGGGTGTGTGGAGAGCGAAAGAGAGAGAGAGAGAAAGGGAGAGAGGAAAATGGAAAGAGAGAGAGAGAAAGCAGTTGAGTCAGATTTCATCTCCATCACTCACACTGCGCTGCTCGTCTGCATGCTGAGACCGAGTGTGTCACAAAGACTGATTCTCATCATCACACACGCACACACACACACACACACACACACACACACACACACACACACACCTACACACACACACACAGTTTCTTATTCCGCCTCGTTGTGTTTTTTTTATGAAGGCTATTATAATACATCACCTTCACACGCGCCAAAACACTCTCACCCTCACACACACACACATATACTCTCATACACTCTCTCACTCAGTTCAGTTCATTTCAGTTCAGCTCAGTTTAGTTTAGTTCAGTTCAGTTCTGTTCAGTTTAATTCAGTTCAGTTCAATTCGGTTCAATTCAGTTCAGTTCAGTTCAATTCAGTTAATTTAATTTCACCTCAGTTCAGTTCAGTTCATTTCATTTCGGTTCAGTTCAGTTCAGCTCAGTTTAATTCAGTTCAGTTTAATTCAATTAAATTCAATTCTTTGTAATTCAGTTCAATTAAATTCAAATAAATTTAGTTCAGAGCAGTTTAGTTCAAACAGTGCTTTGCTGACATCAATGCTTAATAAAAGATTGAGACAACTTTCAAATAAGTAAAAATCACAGATTTTAAAAATTGGATGATTTGCCTCATTGGATATCCCTCAGGTTGTGACATGCCATGCTCTCTCTCTCTCTCTCTCTCTCTCTCTCTCTCTCTCACTCTGTCTCTCTAGTTCTTTTCTCAGACTGTCCCCCTCTTTGATCTCCTGTGCTGGGCTCTCAGAGTGTTGGGCTTTTGTTTACCTGTATTCTGTTTATTTTGGGGTGTAAGTACACACAGGCTCAGAGCGCCAAACGTATTTTGGCAAATTTCTTTGTGGGACAAGCAGAATTATCAGTATGGGAGTCGTTTAGGCATCTGGAGTACTGGACACAGACGTTATAGAGCTGTTTGTTTAAGAGCGGAGTCTGTTTTCTCCTCACTCTCTTTCAGTCCCTTCGATATGTAGACCATTTATTTAATATGGTGCTCTGATACAGGGTGTTTAAAGCTTCCTTGCTTTTTTTCTGTGTATGTCTGTCTCTCACTCTACCTCTGTTTCTCTCTCTCCTGCTCTCTCTCTGTCTCTCTTCTCTCACTCTCTCTCCATCCTTCTCCCTCGCTCCCTCTTTCTGTCTGTCTGTTTCTCTCTCACTCTGTCTCCATTTTGCTTCCTCTCTCTCTGTCTGTCTCCTCTCTCTCTTTGTCCCTCAATCTCACTCTCCCTCCTTCTTTTTTCTCTCACTTCATCTATCTTTTTTGTTTTTTTTGTCTCTACCACTTTCTCTGTAATGCATCTCTCTTTATATCTATCTATCTGTCTCTCTCACTCTCACTCTCTCCCACTATAGCTCTGTTTCTCTTTCTCTCTTTCACTCTCTCTCTCTCTCTCTGTCTTACTCTGTCTATCTGTGTCTTTCTCACACTGTTTCTCGTTTTCTGTCTGTCTGTCTCTTTCACTCTTTGTGTGTCTTCGTCTCTCTGCTTATAGAAAGTCATTTGTCCTTGTCAGGCTAGAGAGGTTTTAATTTGATTGATGATTTATTCATTCATATTTAATTAATTGTGCTATTGATTGAAGACCCTCTCTCTCTCTCTCTCTCTCTCTCTCTCTCTCTCTCTCTCCCTCTCTCCCTCTCCTCAGTACTATGAGATGTCCTACGGACTCAACATTGAGATGCACAAACAGGTAAGGCAATGTGTGTGTGTGTGTGTGTGTGTGTGTGTTTGTGTGTGTGTGTGTGTGTGTGTGGACACTAGAGGGCACAGCTGAAACTTCTTCCATCTCATTCTGCAGATATTCTGGGGTGGGGGGATGGGGGGCTGATTACAAGTCAGAGGACACAGCTAGCAGGCATTGTGTGTCAGAGACATCGCGGTAGTGAGGATGAGAACTGCCTAAGTTATTTTTACATTTTATACCGAACACCTGCATTTACAGGAATGGTTTGTCAAAAAAATCAAATGTTCACAATCTCCCTCTAACCCCAGATGGAGTCAGTCAGCCAGGACATGTATGGTCTCCAAATTTTGCTTCTGTAGTTTAGCACTAGAGCTACAAGCCTAACTTTACTAACAAACACTAGACGTCAGTATTCACCCAAATATTTTCTGTAAATACATCCCCAAAACTATCAACCCACTCAAGCCACATCGAAGTCTTCACTAAGTTTGTGAAGACTGGTCAATGTGGTGTAGGACGGTGTTTCTCAGCTCTGGTCCTGGAGGCCCACTGCCCTGCACTTTGTAGTGTTCTCCCTGCTCCTGACACATCTGATCCATCTGATCAACTCATTAACAGCCCAAGATTGAGTTAAAGTGGATGCGTTACAGCTGGAATAGCTCTAAAATGTGCTGGGCAGTGGGCCTCCTGGACCAAGCTTGAGAAACACTGGACACAGTAAGGCCCAGACCCATTTCTTATTTTTACCCCTTGTTTTCGAGTGTCACCTTGTCTTGTTAACTGAGTTAAAAGGGGTAGTGGTTGAAATCTTCCCCTACAAAATTGGACCCTCAAATAAAAAAATAAACATTACTTCATTAACAGGCTACTAGCGGTGCTCTGTAGGCGACCCTGCCAGTCTGCAGTGATAGCAGAGGAGGGTAAAGTTCAGCAACCTCACTGCTGGGCTTTAGTTACATTTAGGGCATCATATGCTTTCAAAGAGAGGAGATGTGATAATTATTTATTATCGCCACTCTAATACTTCGGTGATGTGAAACTGAAGTCAGCTGTTCACCGGCTTCTTGTTCAAATTTTCCTGTTCCACCTTAAATTGAGCAGCAGTTACGTTCTGGCAGTTCAGGCGTCAGCACTGTTGGACTATTTAAGGTGGAACGGGAAATTTAGCTAGCTAGCTACCGAGACATCAGCATACTACTGGCAAATTTTTTATGTTTGTTATGAAGAATAGGACCATAGTACATCAAAACGACATTAGGATAATACAATGGTTATTGCAGTTTAAATGGAAAATACTCTAATATTATTCTTTAAAATATTCTTTAAAAATATTCTTTGGTTGTTCATGCAGCCATCTTGCCGGTTTTTCTTGTTTTCTCATAACACTGTGTTTGGAGTGTACCTCTAAAAAACCTCCATTTGGAGGGTCATGTAGCCCTAACAGTTTGCCCTACCCCTCTATCTCAACAAAGATCGGGACACCCTACCACTAAGCATGAACGCGCAAAATAGAGGGATAAGGGCTAAGTGATAGGGGCAAGGGGTGAAATGGGATAGGGCCTTAGACTTACCGTGAGACATTTCTTCACTTTTAAAATTCAAGAATAAAAATTATTTGTCAAAAAAAAACCAAACCAATCGCAAACATAAACTGTAGCATCTATACGCCTGCATGATGTGTGTGCACACAGTGGGAAGTCAGAATTGATCTGCTTCCTGACAGCTCACTGTAGCAGGTACTGGCTAATTAACCCCAAGCCTCACTTTCACAGAACTAGTCATAGATGTTGATTGAAATCTGTGGCATTACCACGGTCTACTACTACGCTAGGTAGCTGCTATGCTAGGAATGACCACAGTTTAGTCCACGTTTGAACAGCTACAGCATGTTGGATGGTCAGTGACATTTATAAATCAAATCAAATTAATCAGATCAATTAAACAACGATTTTATTGTCATGGAGTGACATATGCAAAAAACTATTTTTTTCTTTTTCATATTTTTTATTTGTGAGCAGTCATAAATCTAACTCCGCACCCCCACAACCCCCCCACCCCACAAACGTTCTTACCCGTCTCCTTCATTTCCTCCTTCTTTCCAGCTCATTGGCAGCAGTGGATGTGTGTGTGTGTGTGTGTGTGGTGCTTTGTTGGATTCTCCACTTGACTGATGACTTACTCAAGGTGACTCAAGGCTTTTCTAATGAATTACACACTTGCAGCTGACTGGCCTGTTGGTGATGATCAGGGATCAGAGCTGTTGGGTGTTTTTTGCTATACCACTGTACATGTCAGTAAATGACCTTGTTTATGACTTGTCTGTTATGTAAGAGTGAGTATCTGCAGCAACTGTATTTTGTATTATGTACAGTGTTTGATATGATTGGTATCTGTTGCACTGTGGCAGGAGAAGCTGTATTCTGTCCTACTAGAATATGTACTTCTAAATAAGAGGAATGACTAAAGCTGGTCTGAGTTGAGTTAGTTTGTGTCCGGTTGATTTAATTTGAGTTAAATTTAGTTGAGCTGAGTTAAATTGAGCTGAGTTGGATTGGGTTAAGATGAGTCTAGCAGATCTGTTTTGAATTGAGTTGAGTTGAACTGAGCTGAGGTGAGCTGAGTTGAGTTGAGCTGAGTTGGATTGAGTTGAGATGAGTCTAGCAGAGCTGTTTTGAATTGAGTTGAGTTGAACTGAGCTGAGTTGAGTTGAATTGAGCTGAGTTGGATTGGGTTGAGTCTAGCAGAGCTGTGTTGAATTGAGTTGAGTTGGACTGAGTTGAATTGAGCTGAGTTGGGTTGACTTGAGTCTAGCAGAGCTTTTTTGAATTGAATTTAACTGAGTTGATTTGAACTGAGTGCGTTTGGGTTGAACTGAGCTTAGCTGAGTTTTATTTGAGTTGAGCTGCGCTGAATCGAACTGAGCTGAGCTGAATTGAGTTGAAGTGACTTCAGCTGAGTTATGTTGAACTGAGCTGAGTTGATTTGATTTGAGTTGGATTGAGCTGGTACATTGGGTTGAGTTGAGCTAAACCAAGCCGAGTTGAGTTTAGTCTAATTGAATTGAACTGAACTGAGCTGATCGGAGTTATACTGAGTTGATGGGTTACGATGGGTTGAGTTGACTGGAACTAAATTGAGTTGAACTGAGCTAAGTTGAACTGAGTTAAGATAGTTGGAGCTGAGCTGAGCTGAGCTGAACTGAACTGAATTAAGTCAGATAAAGGAGGAGACATCACTGGTTGACATATGTATGGGAAAGCTCGTAATGCTTAACATGATATCTGTTTGTTGACAAAGTCCCACCCTCCAATAACAAGAGCCAGTGAGCTTGTTGGCGACATCGTGAGCATGGAAAGCCCCTTCAATTGGGAGATCTGCGCAAGTGCAGCAGCCAGAACAACCAGAATTTTTTTTTTGAGCTTTGGTGAGCTGAGTTTGATTTAATTGAACTGAACTGATCTAAGCTGAATCAAAGTTGGATCAAATTTAATTCAGTGGAACTGAGTTGAGCTGAGTTTAACTGAGCTGAGCTGAACTGAGTTGATTTGAGTTGGACTGAGCTAATACATTGTGTTGGGCTGAGTTGAGCTGAGCTAAGTGGAATTAAGTTGGGTTGTATTGGACTGAGCTGAGTCAATCTGGGTTGAGTTCTGTGGGAGACCAGAGTTTAGAGTAGCTGCTTTGCTGTGAATGTAGGTCATGATCACACATCCACAGGCTGTGTGAGTGTGTGTGTGTGTCTCAGGCGCAGTAGCGGTGGGCGTCAGTGGGTTAGAGACGCTGGGCTGTCCCCCCTCTCACAGCTACACCAGCACCAACACTCTAATCACTCTGACTGTCTCTGCCAGAATAGATGAATAGAGAGTGATGGAGAGAAAGAGAGTGTGAGCGAGGGCCAGATGTATTTACGAGTGCAGGCACAACGCAGACTGTGGCTCGGTGCGACCGCAATATGTGCCCTCAATGTGCCTGAATCGCGTTCCATTTACTAAGACTGCAGCTTATCACGCAAGCTATGCGTAGCTCCGCCCACTTACTGCTCACCCATGATGCGAAGGGTTTAAAAGGCACCGTGAAATAAGGGCGTTGTCAACAAGACGAAACAGAAAATAAAAGTTCAGTGATGAAGAGGTAGCAGTGTTAATGAATTAAGTTCTTTCTGACCAAAACATTCTATAGGGGTGTAATTTTTAGGCCTGCAACAAACAACTAATTTGACGGTCGAGTAATCCATCGATTACTGAAAGGAATAATCGATTAATTATTAGAGATGGGCGATATGGCCAAAAATGTTATCACGATAAATAAAATTCATATCGTTCGATATCGATACGTATCGCGATAAATGTCAAATCATTATTTCTTTCAAGTTTGAAGGCTGATTTTTGCTCCTGGGTGCTTAATTGCTGTTTTAAACTATTCTTTATGGTTGGAACACGACAAACACTCAAACAGTGGAACATTTCACAAATCTGTCATGGGAGAGTGGGAGAAAGTGTCTGGTGAGCTGTTTTTACCAGCTGGAAAAACATGGCTATTTTTGGAATAGTCATAATTTAAGAAAGAAAAATTATTTTTAGCTGGTGACGAGCGCTCGGCCACCCCGCTACAAATGACCTCACAGTATTCAGACACCAGCTAGCGACGACTGGATATTCAATTGTAGTAGTTTAAGGGGTGAACCGCAAAATATCAACACCAGACAAACAGAGTCCTCTTTTTAGGTATGTTTAAACTGAAAGCGGTGCTTTTGTGTCGTGTTTGATCTACAGTATCATCAGTTTGCCGTGTTGTGGAGTGACAGAGCGCTGCTTCAAGTTAGCCAGCTGCTAAAAACAGCTAGCCTGGAAAGCTAGCGCTCTCCCGCTCTCCAATGCCTCACAGCTTCCTCAGTTTACTTTCGTTTAAATCAGGGCTGTAATTGACATGAACCCACTTCTTTCTTTCACTTTCGTTGCTTGGGAATGCACTCATACTTAAATATGACTGTCCGAGCGCTGCAACAG